TATACACATTCCTATTAAACATATTTTCACATTAGTGATTTGTAAGTAAAAATTAGAACCAATAGGAGGAACCACCAGAAATAATCATATTTCAGTATAATTGGCTTCCTTTGCAGTCTCATGTATATTATTTTGTTGTTGTTATTCAGTCATGTCTGACTCTTCTTGACTCCACTTGAGGTTTTCTTGGCAAAGATACTGGAGTGGTTTGCCATTTCCTTCTCTGGCTCATTTCACAGATGAGGAAACTGAGGCCAACAGTTAAGTTAAGGGACTTGCCCAGCCAGGGTCACGCAGCTAGTGTCTGAGGCCAGATTTGAACTCAGGAAGATGAGATTTCCATCTATCCACTGTGCCATCTTGCTACCTGTATTTTATTTTAGGCATCTAAAAAGATCATTCTGAGGCAGGTAGGTGGCGCAGTGGATAGAACACCAGCCCTGGAGTCAGGAGGGGGCCTCAGACACATAACACTCACTAGCTGTGTGACTCTGGGTGAGTCACTTAGCCCCACTTGCCCTCACCAAAAAAAAAAAAAACATTCTGAGAAGGGGCCCATAGGCTTCAAAATATCATCTAATGGGTCCAGGACACAGAAAATTGTTAAGAAGCCCTGCTTTAAAGACCTCTAGTGATGGAGAGCTCATCACCTACTGTGCCAGCCCATTTCACCTTGGAAGAGCTCTGCTGGCCACTTGTTTTCCTGATATTGAGCTGAAATCTGCTTCTCTGCAATTTACGCCCACAGGTCCTGGTTCTGACCCTCCATGACAAACATCTCCATTTCCTTTCTTTTGTTGTTGGTCGTCTTTTATATGACATGACTTCAGGTGCCTTCACCATCCTAGGCAGCTTCCTCTGGTCCTGCTCCCAAGGATTAGACAGAGACAGCTTGGCTTTTTCTTCTTCCTTGAGCCGAGAACCTCCCAGTCAACGCCTGTAGCAGCAGACAGCCTGGGAGGCAAACATAGATCCTGCCCATTTAGAGTCAGGTTCTCGCATCTGGCAGTTGAGTTAGCTTCTCTTTCTTCAGGTCCTGGCCATTTCACAGTTCATTAGCACCTCTGCCCAGGGGGAGAGTGTTTAAAGAAAACACTGCCAAGATCTAAGATCATGCAGGTGGCTAGTTTCCTGCAACTGCTCCACCCAATCATTCCTAATCAACAACTATTTATAGTTAATTGTATATTCAACACAAGACGGTGCTGGACTGCATGGGCCAGACGAGGAAGGAGCTTTCTATTCAGTTGAGAAGATGACTAATACACAAGCCAAACTTTTACCTTAAATCCCCCAGGATCTAGAGACAGAGGTTCATAGATTTAAAGGTGGAAGAAACCCTTGAGGACATCAAAGTTCAATCCCTACATTTTACATATGAAGAAACTGAGGCCCAGAGAGATTAAGTGATTTATCTTTTAAAAAAAGGGATATTTACTGAGAAGATAGAATAAGAATGGCACAAGTGTTTCCCTTCCCCCAACCCTGGGGGGGCACCCTTTCCCCAAACCACCTCAGTCTCTTGTGGGTTCAAACAAAGCAGGTGATGGTGATATAAAGCAAGTTCAGTCCCTTAGCCAGTCAGACAATAAACATTTAGGAAGTATCTACTATTTGCCAGGCACCGTGCTAAGCACTGGGTGTACAAAGAAATATAAAACATAGTCCCTGCTAGCAAGGAGCTCACAGTCTAATGAGAGAGACAATATGCAAACAGCTACATACAAGCAAGCTATAGACGATAAATTGGAGATAATCAGCAAAGAATTAAGTTCAGTTAAGTGACTTGTCCAGGGACATACCCTGGATTAGTGGTAGGTCAGGACTACTGGACAGCAGCAGCAGGTCAACTTCCAATGACCAGCTTTCCCCACCATTCAATTAAATTCAATAGGATGGAGGGGTTTGTCCAGAACTGGGACTCCAACCTCAATTTTCTGAACAATCCCGTGCAAAGAAGGCTAGACTTGACTCGATGTCAATATTGATTGTCTGTATGACCTTAAGCAGGTCATGTAATGTCTTAGGGCCTCAGTTTCCTCTATATAATGAAATTGGACAGCATGACCTCTGAGGTCTCCTAAAACTAAAATCCCATAAATCAATCACCAAACAGCAAGATTAATTAAGAAACTGGCATGTGCCCGGCACTGGTATATCCCAGCCTTGGATGCCCACTATGGTTTTTTCCACTCCCTGACTGGGGTGGCACTGAATTAGAAAGGTACCTGGGTGGCTATAAACACAGGGAAGAAGAGAGCTGTAAAATGCACATAAAATGCTTGGAAATCCCAGAAAAGGAATTTTCCCAGAAAAATTCCTTGGAATTGGAGGAAATACTCAGGGAGAAGAGCTAATCTTGCAAGTAATAGAGTCAGAAAGCTCCACACCTTTAAGAAAGCATCCATCCTGGGCTGTGCCCAAGTCAGCTTGGAGAAGCTCTTCAGATCTGCTCCATTGATTGTCTAGAAGGAGAAGAGAGTCCATAATGGGTAATGGCCACTTTCTTCGGGGCTGGAACTTAGCACTGGCCTTCTTTTTGTGGATATTAAAGACTGAACATATCTAAAGAAGTTGATTTCTTTGCTTCTTTCAATTTGCCTTTTCCCTCAGTCGACGTTTCCTCTAAATTTTGAGGGAAGAGAAATGGGAAGTGAGGGGAGTTCCTTCCCAAGCTGCTGGTGGAATATCTGGCTCTCTCCAAAGCACAGCCCTGCTACCTCCTGCCCCCTAGTATGTCTCCCAGTTAGAGCACCTTCTCCTGCTTCTGGGCCATTCAAGCAGCATTGCTAATGAGCTAATAGGTGCCAACCAAAGGCCTCAGTCAGGATGCCGATGTGACAAAGAACTGGATTCAAGTCACGCTTGTGACTCATCTTGGCTTCTAGACTCCAGGCAAGTCTCTTCACCCTTGGTGTCCTGGGCAACTCTCTGACTGTAAGTTGCAGAGCAGGTGCTGACTTGTCTTGGTAGACAGGAAAATTCCTCATCTGGAGCTCCCTAGAGTGGTTAAATGGCGTGGTTGTTTAGTCATTTCAGGCCTGTGTGACTCTTCGTGACCCCATTTGGAGTTTTCCTGGCAGAGATACTGGAGTGGTTTGCCATTTCCTTCTCCAGTTCATTATCCAGATGAGGAAACTGAGGCAAACAGGGTGAATTGACTTGCCCAAGGCCACATAGCTAGTAAGTATCTGAGACTGGATTTGAAAGATGAGTCTTCCTGATGCCAAGCCCAGTGCGCTATCCACTTTGTCATCTAAATATCTGTGTGAAATTGTAGGTCCTCTCAAAAAAAAAAATGCAACAGGCACTGTGCTTGGTCTTAGGGAAACTAAAGATTTCTGTTGCTTAACATTAGACTATTATGTATACGGCAGAGGCAGTTGGTGGCAAAGTGGTTAGAGCACTGGGCCTGGAGTTAAGAAAATCTAAGTTCAAATAGACCCATGGCAAGTCACAACCTCTCTCTGACTCAATTTCTCCAAATGCAAAATGCAGATAATAACAACATTCAGGCTCAAATGAGAAATGCTTATTCCCTCCCCTCCCCCTTATGTATATTGAGGTGAGGGTATTAGCAGTATTATGATTGAGCTTTGTTTTTGTCTGTTTGTTTTTCCCTGAGGCAATCAGGGGTAAGTGACTTGCCCAGGTCACACAGCCAGTAAGTGTCAAGTGTCTGAGGTGGGAGCTCTATCCATGCGTCACCTAACTGCCCCTATGATTGAACTTTGGATAGGAAAATGGAATCATTGAATGTCAGAACCAAGAAACTTTGGAGGACCATTTAATCCAAACCCTCTCATTGGACAGATATAGAAAACAGGGCTGAAATAGCTGAATGATTTAGAATGGTAGGTCTAGAGCTAGAAGGGCCTTTGAGGGGCTGCTCACTTTACAGCCCAAGAAACTGAGGCACAGGCAGGTAAGTGACATGCCCGAGGTCACACTGCTGGGATAAAAACCCAGGTCTCCAGTGCTTTCCATTCTGAGGTGTGCATGAGGAGACTGCAATACTTTACCAATGAAGAGATGGGCAAGAGAGTCTGTAAGGAAGGATGAGCTCAGAGACATGTGTAACTAAAAAAGAAGATAGACCTATCTTGTTACTCAGAGAAAGGGCTAACCACTGGACAGTGAGCGTGTATGCCACAAAGATAAATAGAATGTCCGGAGGTTGTTCTCAAAATGTGGTCCTCAAGGCCACAGCTGTTGTCATCATAAGAGTAAGATGTCTCCATTTCTAAACTGGTAAATATCAGTTGATAACATCCATTTTTAAAAAAGCTCTTTGGGGTCTTCCAGCTTTTCCCGAGTTTAAAGGCCCCCTGAAACTAGTAAACTCCCAAAGCTCCCGGCCCCCCAGCTTGGGCTGGATCCTCTCTGGAGGAATTCAAAGACACTTGGTTCTTTGGGCGCAATGGCAGACATGGATTCTGCCTCCTGGGGAGCCCCCCCACAGGGATGAGCTAACAGAGGTTTCTAAGCATCTAGGTCCTTGAGGGCAAAGATCATATCTCAGTCACCTTTGGGCCACTCCCACCCTCATCCGTCCCCTACAGCCCTGGCTCAGTGTGTTCCACACTTTCAGGGTTAGGAACTGGAAAGGGCCCTAGGGGTCACTAGATTAGCTGCCCTCATTTTACAGAGGAGGAAACTGAGGCCCAGAAAATGGAAGTGACGTGCTCAAGGTCGCACGGATTCTAAAGGGCAGAGGGAAGATTCATGAGACTTCCAGTTCAACCCTATTTGTGCTTAGGTGTTACGTGTTTGTCGAATGAATTGGGGTTACAGTTTCAGAATAGGGCTGAGCTATTTGGGACCCGATCAAAACGAACCTCCATTCTCCCAAAAGGTCATGTTCCTCCTTCCTCCACCCCCCTCCCCAAGTAGATTAATCTCTGGGGTTTGGGGCAGCCTGGGTGGGGGAACGAGGAAGTGAGGAGCTGACGTCACCTGCCGCCCAGTCTCCTGTCCGCTGCTGGCACTCGCCCTCCTTTGGGCGCTCGGACCAAGCCTGGGGCGGGGGCAGCAGCAAGAGCCCCCTGCTGTCCCCCGCTCTCCACTACCCCGGGTCGCAGCGTGGCACAGGGGTGTGACTGGGCCTGGGGGCCTCCCCGTCTGGGTCGGATATCCTTCCTCCTCCCTCATCTCCTTCTCCTCCTCCTCCTCCTCCTCCTCCTCCTCCTCCTCCTCTTCTTCCTTCCTCCCATCCCGGCCGGCGGAGCCCCAGAGGCATAGGCGCAGGCACGCACGCGCGGGCATATTGACCCCGGCACCTACACGAACGCGCGCGGCGCGCGCCCTTTCCCCGGCTCCCACGCGGGCGGGTGTGTGTGAGTGTGTGTGAGGAGTGTGTGTGTGTGTGAGTGAGTGTGTGTGTGTGTGTGTATGCGCGCGCGCGCTGCGCAACTGTGCGCAACGCTCAGGGCCAGGCCGGGCCGGGCCGGGCCGGGCCGGGGGCAGCGAGGATGGAAGGCGGTGCGTACGGAGCGGGCAAGGCTGGAGGTGCCTTCGACCTCCAGACCTTCATCCGGCAGCCCCACACCGTGCTGCGCCTGGTGTCCTGGGTAAGGCCCGGGAGCACGGGGCCAGGGCTGGGCGGGGCTGGGAAGCGGAGGTAGCGACTGCGGGGGCTTGGGATGCGCCAGCACGCCCCCCAGGCTCGCAGGATGGGTGTGCAGTGGCCGAAGTGGAGAGGGGGATTCCCGGGGTGCCAAGCGTGTGGCCCAAAACCCCAGGTAGCAAGGGGTGGGGTGGGCTTCGCTTACTCTGTGCTCTGCTCGCCCCAGAGAGGACCCCTTCCCCATTTCCCCGGCCTGAGGATCTGGGGTATTGAGCCTGCGGCCGAGGCTGGCCAGAGGCCGTCTCCCCACCTTGACCTCCAATATCAGGTGCCCAAAACAGAGCCTAAGCTCGGGTGGCGCCTTCGCTTTCCCAGCGGCGGCGATGATGGTAGCTGGGAGTAAACAACTTCAGGCTGGCACTGGGAAGGGTCTGGCTCCAGTAGGGAGGGTGGAGGAGAACGATGTGTGGGGGGAAATGGCTAACTGAGGAGGAAACGAAAGGGGGAGATCGGGAGAAGACAAGACCCTCAGTGACTGGAGTGCTAAAGACAGAGTGGCACAGGGCTGGTGGAGGGCAAGACCGCACCAGCCAGAGGCTGAGCTCTGTGTGGGGACGTGTTTGTACCAGAAGGTCACCGGCATTAAGGGAGCGGGAGCGCCCTGCAGGTGCACGGAGAGATTGAGGTCTCAGCCCGTAGAGGGACCAAGAGAGCACCAGCTTGGCCGAAGGGCTAGCCCAGCTCGGAAGGAGGTGTACCAGAAGCCCTTCCCTCGTCCCTCTCCCCCCAGCCTCCCAGCAGGGGCTTCTGGGCTAAAATTAAATGGGATGAAGAGGGGAGGAATGGATTCAATTGGATTAGTCAGCCTGTTGCTTGGACAGCTGGGAAACCTAAAGGGCTTCTTGGACCTAAATGGGCCTCGTTCCTGGTAAGGGAGGGGGGAGAGAAACCTAGGGCTCTAGGCAGACGTAAGCAGAAAGCTTTGAGCCGGCCTGCGGGCTGGGTGGGGAGCTGGGATGTGGGGCTAGGGCTAGGTTGGGTTAAGCCGCGGCAAGACTGGCCGCAATGCTGTGCTGAGCTGAGCTGAGCAGTACTGCGCTGCCGTACCTGCTAGGGAGCGGCCGGGCTCCGATCCCGAGCAGGCTCGGTGGTTGGCTCGGAAGGGGAGGCGGCTCTGACCACCCCTCTCCACTCCCTTCCCACTCCTAGGACCCCAGCCAGCAGCTGGACCTGAGGTTTCTTCAGGTGCCATCCTAGCTCAGTGACCAAGCAGGGTTTGTTTGAGTGGACAAGACTGGCATTTACGCTCAGACTTCTATTGTGTCTCACACGCTCTGTGGCAGGCCCTGGAGAGAGGTGTCGGGAAGAGGAGAGAAGGGCGGGTTCCTCACTCTCCTTTCTGGTGCCTTTTGTGGGGTTTCCAGTTCACTGTGTAGTAATCCCTGGGCTGTTGTGAACAGGCTGAAAGGGTGCTCAACTTTGGCTTTGGCTGCTGAAAAGGGAGCAGGTTTCCCCTTCCCTCTTCCTCTTGGGGCCATTAAAACCTTGTCTTTGTGGCAATGAAGTGATGCTCTCTTTTCTCAACTCTGATGAAGTGCTTTCATGCCAGCGCATCAGGTCATTCTAACTCTAGGAGGTTCTACCTCCCTGCAGGTTGACCTACTGGGTAGAAGGTGAGGGAGTGGAGAGCAGGAAGGAAGGAGGCTTCCTGGCCACTTCTCCTAGCGAAGTTCCGCTAGGAGGGAAAGAAGGGGGAGTCAAAATCTGGAGCCCAGAAGAAGGCACGGTGAGCCACCTCCACCAGAGTCTTAGCTACATAGAATGTCAGAGGCAGGTGAGTCAGCAAAGGTCAGCTACTCCACTGCCTCACCCTCTACCCCCATTTTAAAGATGGGGAAATACAATCATGCCAGGGCCCAAAGGCCCCCTTAACAGGTTTAGTGGAGAGAGGAGATTGAAGCTTTTGGTTAGATGAGACTTGGGGATGTTTTGTGAATGTAACTGATCTGTGCAATCTCTTGTGCGATTAGAGACACATTCTTGTTTCAACCATTCTTCTTTTGTTCAATTGTGTCTGACTCTTCATGGCCCCATTTGAGGTTTTCTCAGCAAAGATACTAGAGTGGTTTGCCATGTCTTCCTCCATGTCATTTTACAGATGAGGAAACTGAGGCAAACAGGGTGTTAAGTGATTTACCCAGGGTCACACAGCTAGTAAGTATCTGAGCCGGGATTTGAACTCTGGTCCTCTTGACTCCAGGCCTTCTCTCTATCCACTGTGCTACCTAGCTGCCCCAATTCAGCACAATTCAGCAAATAAGTATTAAGCATTAAGTTAGAAATCCTATGCAACATGCCGGTGGGTGATAAAAAGGAGACAGTCCCTGTCCTTATTGAAATCTAGAAGAAGATATTAGTCATGGCCACAAAGAACCAAGAGAGAAAGCAGAATGTGACAGGCTGGGTTTGATCTAAGAATGGGGCTGAAGTGAACACCATGGGAAAACAAAAGGCACCAATTTAAAAAGAAAATACCAGTGAAGACTGTGGATACGTTTGGCCATGGCAGAAGGGAGCGGAACACTGGCTTTGGAGGCAGGGGCCCAAGTTTTCAATTCCACACCTAATATTCCCTGAGTGACCTTGGGCAGGCCCACTCTTGCATCTGAGGCATCAGTGGTAACATAAAAGCAATGGAACTGAGCATCAGCATCCTTTCTGAGACAGCAGGACCCCTAGCAGGAAGGAGACCAAGCCCTGGGCTCCTGTCCCTGCAGCAAGCTTGCTGCCCCTGCAGGTCAGTGTCAAATCCACCCATCAGTGGTCCCCAAGAATTTATCAAGCACTCACTTTGTGCTAAGCACCGAAACATTGATGAAAATCTATTCACCTATTGAGCACCTACTCTACAGGCCCGAATTCCAGCCTCTGTGGGAGGTACAAAGAAAGTAAGCATCAGTTGGAACTTGTCCTCAAAGAGTTTACAATCTAGAAGTGGGGATGATATTAATGCTAGCTCCCATTTCTATGACTTTTTCTATGTGAGCCTTACTTCAGTCGATCAGTCAGTTAACTAGCATTTTTTTTTTGGCTGATTCTTTTTTTTTAATTGATTAATTTATTTTTAGTTTTCAACATTCACTTCCAGAAGTTTTGAGTTTTAAATTTTCTCCCCCTCCCTCCTTACCCAAGATGGGATCTACATATACCTTCCTATTAAACATATTTTCACATTAGACATGTTGTAAAGGAGAATTAGAATCAATAGGAGGAACCACAAGAAAGAAGAAACAAAACAGAAGAAAAAAAACAGCAAATAATATGCTTTGATCTGCATTCAGATTTCATAGTTCTCTCTCTGGATGTGCATAGCATTTTCCATCATGAGACTTTTGCAGATGTCTTAGGTCCTTGCATTGCTGAGAAAAGCTAAGTCTGTCTAAGTTAGCCATCGCACAACATGACTGTTACTGTGTACAACCTTCTCCTGGTTCTGCTCACTTCACTCAGCATCAGTCCATACAAGACTTTTCAGGTTTTTCTGAAGTCCATCTGCTCATCATTTCTTTTTTTTTATTTTATTAATTTATTTTGATTTATCAACAATCACTTCCATGTGCTTTTGAGTTTGAAATTTTTCTCCCGCTTCCTCCCCACCACCGTCCCCAAGATAGCACACAATCTGATATAGGCTATACATTTACATTCCTATTAAACATATTTTCACATTAGTGAAGCTGTAAGTAAAAATTAAAACCAATAGGAGGAACCATCAGAAAGAGGAAACAAAACTCAATAGAAGAGAAAAAAAAATGATAGCGATTCAACTTCCATAGCTCTTTCTTTGGATGTGGATAGCATTTTCCATCACAAGGCCTCTGGAGATGTCTTAGATCCTTGTAATAGTGAGAAGGGTTAAGTTTATCAATATTAGTCATCGCACAACATGGCTGTTATTGTGTACAATGTTCTCTTGGTCCTGCTCACTTCACTCAGCATCAGACCATACAAGTCTTTCCAGGTTTTTCTGAAGTCAACCTGTTCATCATTTCTTATAGCACAATAGTATTCCATTCCATTCATTTACCACGTGTTCAGCCATTCCCCAACTGATGGGCATCCCCTCAATTTCCAATATTTTTGGCCACCACAGAAAGAGCTGCTATAATTATTTTGTACATGTGCGTGCTTTCCCCATTTTTATGATCTCTAGGATACAGCCCTAGAAGTGCTATTGCTGGGTCAAAGGGCATGCACATTTTAATAGCCCTTTGGGCACAGTTCTAAATTGCTCTCCAGAATGGTTGGATCATTAACTAGTATTTATTAAGGGCCCATTATATGCCACTGTATACTGTGTTAAACAAGAATTCCCGAAGCATTCTCCAAATAACAACCAAATGGGAGAGACAGTATTCCCATTTTTACCCCCATTTTACAAGAGGAGGTAAATGAGCCTCAGAGAGGTTTACAGAACTTGCCTGGGGTCACACAGCCAAGAAGTGTTAGCATCCTAGGCTCATAGACTTACAGCTGGACCCTGAGGGACATCCAGACCGATGCCTCTATTTTACAGATGAGGAAATCGAGACCCAAGGAGGTTTTAAGCGACTAGCCAGGGGCACACAGGGCTTGAACCCAGATCTCCTCATTCTACATATCCAAAAATTGTAAGATGACGCAATGTGAAAAGGCCAGTAAGAAGGTTGAAAAGTGAATCAAGAAAAGGGAGGGCTCTCTGCTGTCGGGGGGGTTACTTGGGGAAGGCTTCAGAGAGAGTTGGTACATACCCCCAGGATCAAAGGACAGGCGGAGGTGAGGAAAGAAACATCATGAACAAAAGTCCCCCACCCTTCTTGGGATGGGCTCCAGCTTGTCACTGTGATTGCTAAAATGGGGAATAAAGAATGGGAAATGAGGGGACAGCTAGGTGGTAGCTCTGGAACCACGAGGACCTGAGTTCAAATATGACCTCAGATACTAGCTGTGTGACCTTGGGCAAGT